CCTCTCCCTCCAAGAACAGGATGTTAGCGCGCCCCGAAGCTTTCACGGCCGCTGAGGGCCTCCATCCAGCACTGCAGGTGACGCTGGCAGGGACCTCGCTGAACCTGACTCCGGAAATGCCCAAGTCGCCCTCGGGCGCCAATATCTCCACGGGGTTGCTCGTCGCCTCGGGGACCTCGAAGCCCCTGCAGGGGTCAATGTAGGGGGGCGCGTAGTCGTCCAAGACGCCGCCCGAGACATCCCCACCCACAACTAGAAGAGCCTCGGGACCTTGCGGGGCCTGTGAGACAGGACCACCTGATTGACCAACGCCACAACTGCTGACTGCATGACTGAGCGTAGGGACACGCTGAGAAGACTGAGCATCACGAGAAGCGGCGAGCCTCTGCTCTACTGCACCACTGTCTGACGCCGATCCCGCCGCCACCGACCTCTGGCGGGCGGCAGAGGCGGCGGCCACCTTGAAGCGCCAGCGCTCCGAGAAGCGGCCGCACTCCGCGACGGCGTCTGGCGCGAACCGCCCCCGCATGACGCTGAGCCCGCAAGGCGCCGCGTTGCTGCGAGCGGCGGCGCCGTGCCACCCAGCGGTGAGGTCCGCCTGGAGCACCGGCAGCAGGCTGCGGACCAGCTCCAGCTCGCGCGCCGCCGAACTCCAGAGCCGCCCTGGCCGGCCGCCGAAGGTCTCCACGAAGGCGTAGCATGCGTGCAGAGTGGCGAGCGCCCCCCTGCGGATCATCGCGGTCCACGTGGCGCGGCCCGACGCAGCCCGCAGAGCATAGCCTGTCGCCCAGCGCCTCCGCGGCAGGCAGCTGATCGCAGCCCGCAGCCCCCAGACGCTGCGGCTCTTGATCGTCGGCGAGGTGCCCTCGTGCAGCTGGGGCCCAAGGAACTCGACGTTAGCTGATGCCTCGAAGATCTCTTGGACGACAAACCCGGCCATCTTGAGATGGCTGACGAGCTTGTAGACCAAGTTGTTCGCCGCCGCGGGCGTCGCGCCAACCGCGATCACGCTGTCGACGTAAGCGCCTGGAGCCACAGGGCGCTCATGATCCAGCTGGATGCCGACCTGCCCGTCCACGATGACGCTCGAGGGGTCGACGCCACTCCGCAGCTGGCCGATGCCCCCTGGCAGGTGGGGGGCCCGCGAGAAGCCAATCGGCAGAACCACTACCTTCGCGGTAGCCAGGCTCGAACAGCATATCGCTTCGGCCTGCCTCATCAAGAACGTCGCGTCGATGGCGGGCAGTGCGAAGTAGTCCTCCATGCCCGCTGGGAGGCGCATGCGGTAGAAGGCACACTCCAAGTCCGCGGTGGCGATGAAGGCGCGTCCAGCGAGCTCCAGGCCGAAGCAGTCGGCAATCTAGACTTCGGAGGCGGCCGGAAGAAACAATCTGCGATACGCGAATCGAAGATGATGCGTTGACTCCCATTCTTCTTGGGTGCAACAAACAAGGCCACATAACCCTTGGAGCCCATTACCGCCGGGGGGGGGGGGGGGAAACGCATCCCACGGGAGTGGAGCTTGCCCAGGAACTCTGCGTAGACGCGCGGGTCACCGAAGAACTGCCGATCGCAGTGCGCACCGCGGGGGCATGCACTTGTCATGAGCTCCTCAACTTCCTCTTGATGCCCAAGCACACGGCTCCGCCAATGCTTCAATTCGGGGGGACGTAAGACCTGGGCACAAGGGACTCGGAAATCCCCGACGAGGTCGTCAAACAAATGACGAGGCCGAGCCTGCATTTTGACGAGGCCTCCCGCTGCAGACATCCCACGAAACTCCTCCTCGTCAAAATCCGAGGCGCGGTCGTCAAAAAAACGATGGCGAACCCGAGTCCTGGCAAACCCGGGTCTTACGCCCCCCGATCAATCGCTCCTCCTCCGAGCGGCCGGCGAGGGGGGCGACGTCCACCGGGCGGCCGGCCAGAGCAGGCCGCGAGATCTGCGCAGGGTTGCAGGGCGCCGACGGGTTGGGCGCGCTGTCGCCGTCGACAGACACGCCGTGGAGGAGCTCCTCGAGGGCTCCCCCCTGGCTGGCACGCGTCACCATACTGTTCCGGAAACCGCCCCAGACGATGGAGAGCGGCGTTCATATTGTCAAGGGCCGCCCGCTGGCACTCGTTGACGGGGGCGCCAACTTCGCCGCGGCAGCCGTGCAATGAATTCAGGGACGCAATGGCCTTGTTCAACTGAGCCTGCCGATGATCGCGAACAGCCTGACGCCCCTGCGAGCGACGCCCGCAAGCGCCAGATCGAGGAGCAAAATCTACCAGCGGCAAAACAAAAAGGTCTCGCTGGCGACCCCCTCCTGGCCAAGATGCCCCCGCCCCACCCGCGTGCCCATCTCCTCGAGCAGTCCGCCGGTCACCCAGGCCGCTCACTTCGCATGGCTTCGCGGCTCCGCGGCGGACGCGCCGCGCCCGCCGCCCTTCCTCTTAGGCTTCGGCCTCCGAGGCCCCTCTGGTCCAACATCAGCACCTCCTGCAGCGAGGGCTCGTTCTTCTCGAGCATTGCGCCTCTCCTTCGCTATGGCCGCGCCCTTCTGCAGCTGCTGCGATGCTGCGGTGCAAAGTCCCAAGGGAGAGGAGCAACACGCACGTGTCCACGACCGTGCGTCAGCCCCGTCATCAAGTTCTCACGCACGCCGAAGTCGGTCTCGCTCTCGAAGCGGTGCCGATGCCTGTCGTTCTCTGTCTGGATCGCCCGCGCCACCGGCTCCATCGACGCCGACTTCGAACTGTGCAGCTTGTCGTAGCACAGCCCGACCTCCAGCAGACGGCACATGAACTCGTGATTCGTGACCCCTGGCTCATCATCGCGCAACCGACCGTCCGTCCGCCACTCCTGATGCCAAGCCATCGGCGCCCCAGCCACACGGTGGATGAAGAGCGCAACCCACAGCAGCGCCATCGGCCCGCCGATGGGCCAGCCGTCGAAGGGGGCCTCCACCAGCGATGGCGCTCGCCGCGGATGTCGTGGGCCATCGCCACTACGCGCAGGCCCCCGCCAGGGGCCGCGGGCGCCACGCCGCCAGCTCCAGCCCCAGGGGCCGCGCCGCCAGAAGCTGCCGGCGCCGCGGCGGGGCCGACCGCGGGCGCGGCTGCAAGCGCGCCTGGCGCGCTGAAAGCCACCCCGCCGGCGGCCGCCGCGGCGGGCGCAGCCGCAGGCGCTGCAGCTGCCGCCAGAGCGCCGCCCGCAGCGCCGCCAGCCGCAGCAGGGGCCGGCGAAGCGCCTCCGCCAACGCCGCCGCCGCCGAGAGACGCCGCCAGACCTCCGACCCCAGCCGCCGCGCCGCCGCCCGCTGCTGGCATTGCCCCAACCGCAGTTACCGCAGCTCCTGCTGGAATCTCTCGGCCTCCGACGTTCGGCACCGCCGCCGCCGCGGCTCTGGGGGCCACAGCGGGGGGCGGACGCGGCAGCGGGCGGCGGGGGGGCACGGGGCGCCTGCGGGCCTCGGGCGGCGCGCCCCCCGCGCGGGGCGGCGCCGCGACGTCCCCGGAGCCCGTCGGCACCGCCGCCCGCCCGTCCTCAGAGACCCCGCGGCCGTGGGCACGAGGCCCTCCCCGCCGACCGCCGGGGCCTCGCCGTCCGCGTCGGTGGGGCCCTCGTCGGGGCCCAAGCCGGAGACGGGGGCGGCCGCCGGCACGCCGAGGAAAAGGGCACCCGGGAGGCGCCCGGGGGCCACCGAGACCGGGGCCCCTCGGGCGTGGCCTCGCGCCCCTGCCGCGGGCAGCAGGCTCGAGCAGGGGCAGCGGCGGCCGAGGGTGGGCCCTTTCGAAGGTCGCGGCGTGGAGCGAGGACCCCTCAGGGAATGAGCCCTGCGCACGCACCCCACTGCGTCCTGCTGCTGCTGCTGCTCCTGATCCTCCTCCTCCTCCTCCTCCTCCTCCTCCTCCTCCCTCCTTCTCCGTGCTGCTCCCGTTCCTCCTTGTCCTCCTCCTTCCCGTTCTCCACATGCACAGTTGCCCTGGCCTCGAACGTTCATTACCAACAATGGGTGCTTGCGAACATCCCACGGTAAGGACACCAGGAAGCTGGGTCCACTGACAAGGCAGAAGTGGCGAACACTATTACTCTGAGTCCACTGGTAGGGCCAACGCGTCTACAGATGCCGCTACTTCCTGGACCCCTGCCAGGGTGCGTTCCTGGGGCCTCCGCGTCTGGGACGACGGGGGGGGGCCCAGGAAGCAGGAAAAGCGGAAAAGATGCAAGGATGATGTATCGGTATCCTCTAAATTACCGTTTGGTACAGACGCACACACCTCACTTCACTCTCCTCAATGTCCCAGAGCCGCAGCAACAGTGGGCGTGCATATTGTTGAGCCCCTGGCTGGCCCTGAGATCTAGATCCTGTGCCCGCCAGAGTCCTGGGACATTCTGTCGTAAGGCGGTGGATGTGTATGAACTGCGGCATCGGGGCATACTCCTCCTCACCACCCATCCCTCCTCTCCTCCTCCTCCCTCCTCTCACCTCCCTCCTTCTCATCCCTCCTCTCCTCCTCCTCCTCCTCGTCGTCGTCCTCCTCCTCCTCCACCTCCTCCATACCTTCCCCGTGCAAATAACAACTGCAGGCGGAGAACGAGGGACTAGCAGCAGCAGCAAAAAGACAACGACGACGGCCGCAACCGCAACGGCGACGACGACGGTCCCACAGGCCTAAGAAGGCAGAAAGCGTCAAAATCGTCGTTGATCTGTTCGTCGTGGCCGTCTTTGCCGCCTAAGACGACATCGACCTCCCTGAAACATCTGCCCCCAGACGGCTCCTCGGGTGCGTTTTGACCAGCTCTGTCATCAATGAGTCCAGCCGCGGCGACGAGAAAACCCCCGAAGGCGTGAAACTTTTGAAGCATGCCCGACAACCCCTCCGCGTCGCGCATCCTCCTCGTCGCCCTCGTCGTGGTCGTCCACTCGGACACTTCCCCTCGTCGTCGTCCTCGTCGTCGTTGGCGACGCCGGCGACGACGGCGGCAAGGACGACGGGCGACAGATCGATCTGGGCCTCCGCGTCGCGCATCCTCTTGCGCCGGCGCCAACCGTCCGCAGCGGGCTGCGCGGGCGTCGGGGGGGCGGAGAGGACAGGGGCACTCGAAGGGGAACTGGGACACACAAACAAATAGACACACACATAACCATATTCCCCATATGTTCTCATAGTTTCAGGGTTTCGGTCTTCCCCCCCCCCACTTCCCACATCTTCGAATATTTGCGGGGGAATCGACGGTTCATTGTGTCTGTGTGATTTTCCCCTCCTGAGTGCTCGAGCGGGATCGGACTCCGAAGGCCGCCGCCGGCCGGCGGTGGCCGCCGAGAAGTCCCCGCCACAGCTCACTCCGTGCCCGCCGAGGGCCCCCCCGCTGTAGGGAAACGAGCCTTCTACACCGACGTTTTTTTCCGACGCTGCGCTGAACTTCGCTCAGGAACGTGGATCCTCAAGGGCTCCCAACTTCGCGCTTCGCGCTCCGCGAAGCGCGAAGCGCGAATAACTTCGCGCCCTCGCGCCGCCCCCCCAAAGGGAGAAAAGGAGGACGAGGAGGAGGGGGGAGAAGGAACGAGGACCGCGAAGCGCGAAGCGCGAATAACTTCGCGCCCTCGTGGGAGCCCTTGCCGACGCTGCGCTGAACTTCGCTCAGGAACGTGGATCCTGGCGTATACGGGATCCTGGTGTATACATGTGTCGTTCTTCCATGGGAAAACGGGGGACAAGTATACACCGCACCACCCCGACGTCGTCCCCGACCATCAAAAAGAGTCTTGGGATTGACAAAAAACAACCCGCCCCTGGTAATGTATGTGTTCCAGTTTCCGACGTTGGCCCCCCGCCAGCTCGCGAAGCACCCGCGGGGGGCTACAGCTGGCCAGCTATGCGGGTGCACGCGCGCTTGCGGGCGACAGCGTCGGCAGTCTGGCCACCCACGTGCACGAGGTCGACGAAAAGCGTACGGTGCGACATGGTTACACACCCTGGCAGTAGCAAACACAAAACCAGGTGGCAATACTACAACGAGGTCAATGGGCGTTCCGTGGCATGTGTTTTCGCGTGGGCGGTGAGCTGGAACACGCTCGACGCAACGACGACGATGACGATTAGTGTGCCTTCCACAGAATGGCCATTTCGGCAACTGCTGCAGCCCCTTCGCGAACAATTTATTAGCTTGCTCGATATGGGTCAGAGAGGAAATTCGCCGATCCCAGCCTCCCACCTCATCATTTAGTATCCGACTCGCTTTTCACCTAGAGTTCACTAGAAAACGCGCCAGTCCCAGCCCCCCGAAGAATTCTTCAATGTCTTATTGGCTAGCCTATTGGAGTTCAGTGGGAAATGAGCTGATCCCAGCCTCCTGCAGAATCCTTCAATCTCTTATGTGTCTTTCAGCAGGACTTCAATACGATATGCGCCGATCCCTGCATCCTGCAGACTTGCTGGAGATCCTCGTCGACATCCAATTAGAATTCACGCAGACACGCGACGATCCCAGTCTCCCGCCGAAGTCTCCAACACTGTATTTTTCCCATCGGAATGCGGTAAGACATGTGCCGATCCCAACCTACCGCAGAACTCATTGATATCAGATTTACTCGCCAATCGGAATTCAGTGGGAAGCGTGCTGACTCCAACCACACCCCGATTCTGGCATCCCCTATAACTGTTGAATATCCAATGTGCGTGTCAATAGATATCATGTGATTCACCGGTTTGGGGCTTGCGGGAACGGTAACCCAACACACTTGGAAGCAATTTAGACATAACCATAATATTCGCGGGGGTCCATTAAAGAGAAAACATGTTTTCGTTACATAATATGTCTGGAGGTCGTGGAACTGGATTTTTAGAACGGTTTTCCTATTGTATTGGATTCCCAGCTCAAGAACGCGCAACGATGTTCGAAGAGGATTCCAGAAGACTCACACGAATGCTCAAAGAGTCCCATTGAAAAACAACGGAAACCGTTGCAAAGGAAATTTTGGAATGAACACTGGAGCCTCCCAGAAAGAAACCTCCGTCGAGCGAATTTTGTATGGACACGGGCCACACATTTTTGTCCTGGTAGAACATTGTTGCAGAACCGTTTGTTCGTAGCCCTAGGGCTCAAGAAGGGCGAAACCCGAACACTGCGAAAAACTGCAAGACCTCTCTATCCCCTTCATTTGGGAAGCTCAGAACGGGTACGGAAAAACTGAATATGATGTCTAGCAACAGGTTGTTCAATACCGATAGCGGCCGCTCTTCAGCGCAGGCGGCCGCTGTTGGGCAGGCGGCCTGGTGTCTCCAATGGACAACGTTCGCGGCGACACAGGCAAAGACCCCTGCTCAAAATGAGCCGGAAATAGTGGCGATCTTTCTACCCGTCTTTTCCGTTCCAATTTTGACAGTACCGATTCATCCGAGCCGGGCGCGCCGCGGCTGGTGAGCGCCTCGGCGGCCGTGGCGGTCGTTGTTCCCGTGAACCCCCTCCTCGTCCTCCTCCTCCTCCTCCTCCTCCTGCTCCTCCTCTTCCCTTCCTCTCCATCCTTCGTCCTCCTCGTCCTCCTCCTCGTCCTCCTCTCCATGGCGGCCCGCGGAAGTGAGGAGGTCAGAGCGCTGGCGGCCTGGTCCAGCGTCGCGGCGCCGGAGATCGGAATCTCCGCCGTGTCCTCTGGGCGGGGGTTGCACGCTCTTCTGCCCCGCCAGCCGCCGCGGCGACGGACGTGCTCGTTGAAGCGTGTCCGCTTCTCCCTCAGCGCCCCGAAGGGTGCGGCGGAAAGCGGCATTGAACTATCCGAGAGAGGGGGGGGATCATTGACGTGCAGTAAAACCACGCGCACGCTGCGCGCGCTCTCAGGTTCTCGCGCAGCTCAGGCCAAGCTCACAAGATCGGATGAGGATGGACACCATCCCTCAGCGATCACCATATGGGGGCGTACTTCCTGTGGGTGCTGAATGGGCAGGCCCGGTGAGATCCCGCTGAAATGAGGAGGCCCCAATGAGACCCCGCTGCATTGAGCAGGTACACTGAGCAGCTGCCCGAAGGAAGCTTTTGGGAGGCCTCGGGAGGCTCGCGGCCTGTGGACAGTCTTCAGCGGTCTTGAGGAATTTCCGAGGGCAGCCCGAGGCCCGTCCGGACTACCTCGGAGGTGTCCTGAGAGGTCTCTTGGTGACCCTGGGGTCAATGTTTGGCAACTGAGGTAACTGAAAGCCTTCAAGGGTCGGTCGAAGCCTGCTTGAGTGCGGTATCTTTTTGTTTGTTGGTTCCCCCCGCGCGCCCAGCCGCGGCCCCGTCTCGAGGCTGGCGCGACCCCCCCACCCTTGCGGGCGGAGGCAGCGCGGCTAGGGGGGGGCGGAAGAGCCAACGGCGGCGGGTGTCGTGCACCTGCTGGCACTGGAGCCGCCTGAGCTCATACCGCCTCCGCCCGCTTGTCCTCGACGCCCTGCACCTCCACTCAAATGCCGCCCTTCCTGTCGTAGGAATTGTCGTCACTGGTGTGTTGGTGCAGCCAGGCCGCCCTGTCCTCGTCTGGAGGCGTCTCCATGGCGACGAGGAGACCTGTATACTGCCAGCCAGGGTTCCGGATCGCCTCGTGGTAGAAGTGTACCGCCTGGCCCCCATGCTCAAGCATCGCTGGGAAGACTGCGCTCACCAAGACCCCTGTGTTCGGCTCTGCCACGGGCACCGAAGCTTTGTACTGGACTCGCCTGGGCCCATACTCTTACAAGTGATGGATCTCCGGTGCTGGCGCAGGCAGCCAGTTGATGGGCCGTTTTCCACCACCACCACCACCACCACCATAAGTTGGAGTGGGAGGGGGTCCTCCTCCTCCTCCTCCTCCTTCTCCTCCTCCTCCTCCTCCTCCTCCTCCTACTCCTCCTCCTCCTCCTCCCCCTTCCCCCCTCCAACTCGTGGTGATGGTGGTGGAAAACAAGCCCAGCAGCCAGTGACCTTGGGGGCGCGCGCACACAGGCTGACAGCGCCGCGGGAGCGGATTGAGTCGGCAAAGCCGGCGCGGCGGCCGGCGGCGCGACGAGAGCGGCCAGGGCGGCGCCGAGCCACGAGGGTATCACCGGCGGCCTGGACGGGGCGGCTCTCGGAGAGGTCACCGAGGGGCCCAAGTCGATGTGGGGCCGCCCGCGCCCATGACCTGGCCCTGGAGGACGGGCGCGCTGGTTTGCCCGTCCAGGTTCACGGGTTGCTGGAGATGCCCCTGGGCCTCAAGGTGCCCCCCGCTTGTCGCACCCTTCTGGAGCCCCTGGGGACTCCTCGGCCTCGTGAGGGGGGGCTCTGGAGGCCGTGGGAGCCTTCTTGGATATCCTGGCGCACCCTGTACCGAGCTCAGTGGGCCCTGGAAACGACAAGGCCGTTTTTCTACCGGTTCTGTTTTGCCATTTTTTGTTGCCGGTTCCGACGCCGTTTTTTTACCGGTTCTGTCGCCGTTTTTTGACCGGTTCCGGTTCTGGTTCCAATCCTGGAGCCGTTTTTTTGCAGTTTCCGGTCGCCGTTACTTTGCCGTTTCCATTTTCAAGGGGCATTTTTGGGGAAACGGTGACAAAAACGGCCCTGCCGTTTCCGGGGCCCACACAGCTCTGGAGGCCGCGGGGGCCTTCGTGGACGTCCTGGCCCGCGCCTTCTAAGAATGAAGGGGAACTGGAACACACAAATAAATACACACAAATAAAAATATTCCCCATATTTTCCCATATTTTCTGGGGTTTCGTCTTCCCCCCCACTCTCCATATTTTCCCATATTTTCCTGGGGATCACCGATTAATTGTGTCTGTGTGTTTTTTCTCCTCCTGAAAGAAGCAGGGGTGCTTCTAAGAAGCCTTCCCCCCTCCCCCTCACCCCCTTCTGCGCGTGGCCAGCCTGTACCGAGGGCACCTCCGGCAGCACCCCGACGGGCTTCAGAGGAGCTCGGGCCTCCCGTTGCCCTGCGTGGGGCGCGGCAGACCCTGGCGGCCGACGGGCCCGCCGGCGCTAATGCGCGCGGGTGCCGCGGCGGCCCCCCCCCCACCGCAGAAAAGCCGCCGTGGCCTATCAAGTCGGGCGAAAGGGGGGGATAGCAAAGGGTCGGCCTCCTCCTCCTCCTCCTCCTCCCCCCCCCCTTCCATTACGTGCCTCCTCCTCCCCTCTGTCTCTCTCAACCTGCTGCTGCCCCCTCGGCCCCATCCTTCCCCCTCCCCACATTCCGCCCCCCCCCCCCCAACCCACCCCTCCCACTCTCGGGTCGGGCGAAAGGGGGGGATAGCAAAGGGGGGGGTTGAGAATCAGCTCACGTGGCTGATTTTCCCGGCGCCTCCCGGCGCCAGAGGCGGCCATGTATCGAGGAAGGGGCCCCTCGGCGAGGCCGAGACCAGCTGCATGCAGCAGATTTCGTACCCCCCCCTTTCCCAATCCCCCCCTTTCGCCCGGCCCGAGCCTGGGTCCCGGGAGCACCGAGCCACAGAAGCGTCTGGGGCGTGGGCCAGAACGGCTGCAGTGGCGGCCAGGTCCACAGGAGATCGTCTCACAAGAAGCCCATCTCTGAGACCCTGCAAGGCCTGCACTGAATCTCGGTGTGGCAACGTCACGCCCTTCAAACCCCCCAAGACGCCCAGGGCACCCCGGAGGCAAGCAGGGCGCTTCTTGGCATGCGCCTCCTCTGTACGGAGCCTGCTTGGGTGCGGCATTGGGGTTCCACTAGGCCGTGCTATTGAGCCCCGCTGGGGTTCGTTAAAATGTTGCGCTGCACTACGCACGCGGTACCAGACAGATGACGCGGCCAACTCTTCTCATGGAGGCGACGTCCAGCACGACTTCGCGCCACAGGTATGCATGCTGGGCGAATCCCCCAGCTGTTTGTCTCGCAAGCGCCCAGGAGGGCTCCAGGAAGGCGCGCGAGGCAGCCACGAGGAGGACCCACGGCAGCCAGAGGGGGGAATGCCCGAGAGCACCCTGAAGAGCCTGGCAAACAATGCTGAGGGTCTTGTTGGATGCCCTGTAAGGGGCGCCCTCGGGGCACTCTCGAGGGTTCGAGGAGGAGGAGGAGGAGGAGGAGGAGGAAGAGGAGGAGGAGAAGGAGAGGGAGGAGGAGGAAGAGGAGGAGGAGGAGGAGGGGGGAGGTCGAAGGAGGAGGAGGTGAAGGAGGCCGGGGGGGGGGCCGCCTCGTGGGCGCCTCTTGGGGCCTCGTGGGGCTCTCCGAGGGTGGCCCGTCGGGGGCTCCTGGCGGCGCCTTTGGGGGCCTCCCTCGGGCGCCTGGCATCCCTGGGGGCGCGGAAGTCTCAAAACGTCTTCTTCGGATCCCCGCTCTTGGCCCTCTCCTCGGGGCCGTCTCGAGAGCCTCGTGGGCCGCCCTGGGGAGCTCCCTCGGGCGCCTGGCATCCTTGGGGGCGCGGAAGTCTCAAAACGTCTTCTTCGAATCCCCGCTCCTGACCCTCTCTCGGGGCCGTCTCGAGAGCCTCGTGGGCCGCCCTGGGGAGCCTGCTGGGCCGTCGTGGCGGTCTCCTGGGTCGTCTTGTGGCCCCTTGGGCCGTCTGGGTGCTGCTTTTGGGGGGCCTCTTGGGGCGTCTCGGAGCAACGGAAGGCCGAGGGATCCTGCACCCAAACCCAGGTCAACGCCATCCTGGCCCGGCAGGTCCTGGAAGGTCCGGCGCTATGGCTGACCCCCTTGGCCCCCGTCTCAAGGACCCCAACAGATCTGAAAGCGTTCGGGAGCGTATTGGAACGGATTCATCCTCGTCCTGCCCCGTGCGATCCTCCCCCCGCACGGGCGCCGACGGGGGGACACGCCGTGGCCTGAGGCACGTGCGCGTGCGAACGGCAGCCAGGGAACGTCTTGGAAGGAGAGGATGAGGGCCATGCAGCACGCGAGACGTCATGACCTCGGTCACGATTCCACCACTACGTCAGGTTCGTGTCGTGCCGACTTCGCCGTTGGTTTCTAACACCGCGGGGATCGTTCAACCTTGAACGATCGGCCGTTTCCGAAACGTCCAAATCGTTCCACATCGAACGATTCTGGGTCGCCCGCGGCGTTCAAAGCTGAACGCCGCCGGCGGGGTCGCCGCACGACGCAAACCTGCCGTACCCCGCTTCTGGCCATCGCTCGGACGTCCATTCCCTGTGCTTTTGTTTAGGTTTCGTGCGTGTTTTTTTCGCCGCATGATCAAGGATGCTCCTCGCCGAAGGAAGAATGCACACGTCCGAGCGATGCCAAGGCTCTGGGCCTTGTCCCCCTCTTGGACGCCCTTCTCCTTGAGCCGGGGAAGCCCGGACCCTTCTGCGCACGATCCCGGGGCCCAGGGGACGGCCCCGCAGGTGTGAACACAGGGCAGGGCCTGCAGTACAAACTTCCCCTTGGACTTCTTTCATGGCGACCCCCCCTCCCTCCTTAACCTCCCTGGACCTCCTCTCTGCTCAAGGGAGCACAGGCCCTCCTCTCTGCATCGGGGGGCCGCGCACAGGAAGGAATGTCCTGCGCAGCCCGCTTCCTGTCTGCTCTCGCGGTGGCGACCTGGCAGGGCGCTATTTCCGCGCTCGCAGCCTCTTGTCCTCCTCCTCCTCCTCCTCCTCCTCCTCCTCCTCTTGCCCTCTTCTTTCTTCTGTCCTCCACTTTCTCTCGTCCTCTTCCTCCTTTTGTCCTCCCCCCTTTCTATTCCTCCTCCACCTCCTCACCTTTCCACTCCTCAAACTCATCACCCCCAAAGTTATCATAATCTCCCTCCTCTCCCGCCGACTGGGCGCGGTTCAGCAAGCATGCTGGCGGGCAGGCATGGCAGCATGCACGCAGGCATGAACCGACGGGTCCAAAGGTCCACCCCATGCTCGGGCACGCAGACCGCTGGGACCACCTGGCGGGCACAAGAGAGGCGCGCACCCCCTCGCCATGGGAGCGCGCGCGCCCTGGACATGCCGCTAGCCACCAGCAGCGCCCAACCTGTCGTGGGGCGTTGGCGGACTTGGGTTTCGTGGGGCCTCGTTCGGTGATGCCTGGGAGACGCCCGCCCCCGCCCGTCCCCCCTCGCCCCAATGCACTACCCGATTCGAGCAGGAACTGAACGGCCGTCACCCAAAGAAACACCAGCCGCGGCAGACGTGGCTCAGTGACCCTGGCCAACGTGCGGGGCTTCGGGGCCCAATCACCAAACCGGCTCCCTTCGCCCAGGGTGCTGGCTGTATCCGACGCTCCCGCGGCAGTGGACAGACCTCCCTTTCGCAAGCCTCCCCTCAACGAAAACGGCTTGGGGCCGAAACCGGCTGACCCAGACCCGCAAGAATGACGGCCGCGACGCCCTCTCGCGAACCGAAAACGGCCAATTCCTTAATCGACGTGTCTGGGTAGGAGGTCTATCCATCTCCGATTCCTCCTCCTTTCGACTCTCTCGGCGCAGTAGTGACTGCGTCATCTACGCGGCGGGCGGGCGGGGAACCCCAGAGCGGACCGCGGCGGCGACACGCAGGAATAGAGAGAGCGAGCGGCAACTGTCCTCACGCATGCGTCTGCCCATCCTGTGTGCCCACCTGTTGCTGCGCTTTTTTGTTGTTCCCTCAGTCTGCAGCGGCTCGAGCGGGCCGCGGCCAGCGACAGCGGCCGAGGATAGACCGAGGAGGCAGGGATGCAAGGGTACCCTTGGGAAGGTTGCCCATCCTTACTATGCGGGTTGACTGTATCTCTCACCACAGCTGCCAGACCCACCGCTGCGGAGCGGCCTCAAGGGCAGGCCCCACGGCCGAATGCTCCACATGAAAAAACAAAAGCAACGCCGGCGAAGCGGTGTGCTCTGGAAGCGAGCACGCACGCCCGGAGGGAATTCCCTGGCGTGCTTCCTGGCAACAGCGCTGGCAGCGCGACGTCAGCCACAAGCGAGCGGGCACCGGGCCCGCTCTCAACCAAATACCTGGCAACCGATTGCTGCACGATAGCGGCAGCCAATGCACCAGCCTCACGACATCGCCCAAGCCGGCGTCGCGTCGCAGAAGACGAAGCGCTCCTCCTCCCTAGACTTAGGTCGGGCCTGTCCCCCTACAGGAGGATTTTGGGCGAAACATTTTTTAAAATCACCAGACAGCTCGCCCCTTGGCCCCCCGCCAACCCCACGCAAAGGGGCGAGCATATATACGGGCGCAGCACCGCGCTGGATGCGTAGCCGTCGGCTGGGCCAACCAAGCGCATGACGCATCGCGTGGCGGCTGGATGTCCGCGCCGAGCACAAATATTCTCGGTTCCTCCCTCCTCCTTCTCCTCCTCCTCCGCGGGCTTAAAACTGCCACCGAAATATCCTCACCCGCTGGCTTAAAACTACCACCGAAATATCCTCACCCGCGGGCTTAAAACTGCCACCGAAATATCCTCACCCGCTGGATCAAAGCAGCCAGCCACAGGAATATCCTCACCCGCTGGCTTAAAACTGCAACCGACATATCCTCACCCCCGGAAATGAAACTGCCACCGAAATATCCTCACCCGCTGGCTTAAAACTGCCACCAAAATATCCTCAACCGCCGGCTTAAAACTGCCACCGAAATATACTCACCCACTGGCTTAAAACTGAGACCGAAATTTCCTAACCTGCTGGCTTAAAACTGCCACCGAAATATCCTCACCCGCGGAAATAGAACTGCCACCGAAATATCCTCACCCGCTTCCTTAAAGCCGCCACCGAAAAATCCTCACCCGCTGGGTTAAACTGCCAGCGAAATGTCCTCACCCGCTGGCTTGAAACTGCCACCGAAATATCCTCACCCGCTGAAATAAAACTGCCACCGAAATATCCTCACCTGCTCGCTTAAAACTGCCACCGCTCGATAACACTCGATAACACATCGATAACGCCTCATGCTATCGAGGTGTCATCGAGTGTTATCGAGGTGCTCTCGAGCGTTATCGAGCTCGATCACACTCGATAGCACCTCGATGACACCTCGAACACATCTCGAAAACATGTTATCGACGTGTTATCGGGTGTTATCGAGGTGTTATCGAGCGGGTGATGGTCACCCGCTGGCTTAAAACTGCCACCGCAATATCCTCACCCGCTGGCTTAAAACTGTCACCGAAGTATCCTCACCCGCTGGCTTAAAACTGCCACCGAAATATCCTCACCCGCTGGCATAAAACTGCCACCGAAATATCCTCACCCGCTGGCTTAAAACTGCCACCGAAATATCCTCACCCGCTGGCTTAAAACTGCCTCCGGAATTTCCTCACCCGCTGGCTTAAAACTGCCACCGAAATATCCTCACCCGCGGAAATAAAACTGCCACCGAAATATCCTCACCCGCTGGCTTAAAACTGCCATCGAAATATCCTCACCCGCGGAAATAAAACTGCCACCGAAATATCCTCACCCGCTGGCTTCAGACTGCCACCGAAATATCCTCACCCGCTGGCTTAAAACTGCCGCCGAAATATCCTCACCCGCTGGCTCAGAACTGCCACCGAAATATCCTCACCCGCGGGAATAAAACTGCGACCGAAATGTGCTCATCTGCCGGCTTAAAACTGCCGCCAAAATACCCTCACCCGCGGAAATAAATCTGCCACCGAAATTTCCTCATCTGCCGGCTTAAAACTGCCGCCAAAATACCCTCACCCGCGGAAATAAATCTGCCACCGAAATTTCCTCACCCGCTGGCGTAAAACTGCCACCGAAATATCCTCACCGGCTGGCTTAAAGTGCTACCGGAATATCCTCACCCGCGGAAATAAACTGCCACCGAAATATCCTCACCCGCTGAAACACCGAAATACTCTCAACTGCTGGCTCAAAACTGCCACCGAAATATCCTCACCCGCTGGCTTAAAACTGCCACCGAAATATCCTCACCCGCTGGCTTAAAACTGCCACCGACATATCCTCATACGCGGGCTTAGAACTGCCACCGAAATACCCTCACCCGCTGGCTTAAAATTGCTACCGACATATCCTCACCCGCGGAAACAAGGGGCACGCGTGCCAAGGATCATACAATGACGATGTGGGTCCATGGGAGATGGAGAAAACCAAGGATCGCGGGGGGAGCGCACGGTCGGTCGGAATAAGGGGAGGGGGGCGC